TGGTGATTTCAATACAGATATGGTCTAAGTAGCCAAGATAAAGCATCTCACCAATATCCTTATCATAATCATTTGAGTATAGTTATAAGTGATAATTTATATTGCTCAATCACATATGCTAATGAGAAAAACTCATTAAAGTAATGAAAATAAAGAGAAATGTCTCATCTAAAAGTATTTTGCCATCAATTTATTGATTTCTCTACGACTAGTTATAAATGATAAGTCACCATGAGTTCTCTCATACTTGGTATGAGTGTTATGCTAGGTGCAAGTCATAGTATAGGTGTAAGTGGTGTGCTAGATGGAAGGGCTATGCTATGTGAACCCAAATGGGCAATAATGAAAATGTTTGGTGACTAGGTGTGCCTAAAGAGATGACCTTGGTGCAATTCTAGATAGAAACTTAATGATCTACATCTCAAGTTATATCCATGAAACACAATATTACGTCCATAAATTTTCAAGCGGTGACTCTCATATTAGTTAACAACTCCTTCATGCAGTTGGAACATAGCCAGGGCCACCTTGCGCTTTTCATAGAACTTTATGCCTTAAAGTCTCTTCTCAATATTGTTAAGCCATGCATTTAGCTTCATTGAACCTAATTGAAGTAGCAGTGTATCTTTAGGATTTGATCAATCACAATCTATCGAACCCCATTAGTCATCACCACCTGCGAAATTTCAATTTTAGAACTAATATATGAATTTATGATAACCTATAATAGTTAAAATACTATTAATTATCAACTAAATAATTAGCTTGAGTTTTAAAAGTTGAAATATAAGTTGAGTTTCTTATAGTTCTAGTTACATTGGTTGTTACATATCCTGAATTGTTTGTGACATGAGTTATAATACTTGCTCATAATATTTGAGTACCATTCTATGTACTATATCAATGAGAGTCACCAATTAGGAGTTCGCCCTCCAGCAATCCAAACAGCTTGAGAAGGATCAACATGATGGTGGCTAGGGGTAAGATTCATTCTATGTACTAAAAAATTACACAAAATCAAAACATAATAAATAAGTAAACAATAATAAAAATTTTATAATAAAATATTATAAAAATTATTATTAAGAAAACCCAAAAAATAATCTATCCTAATACCAAAGTCTAAAGAGGCAAGGATTATTGAATACAAAAGAAATGCTTTGATACCACACTATCACATCCTAGGTTTGAAAAACATTGCACTTGAATGACACGAGCCATGATGTAATATGAGCATATTTTGTACCCACAAAAATAAACATTTTTGTACAAATATAAAAGTGTGCAAGGATGGATAAATTTTATTTTATTAAATAAAAATTAGTCACAATCCCAGTCTAATAAAAGAATAAAATAAAATATAATGAAAAAAAAAAAAAAGGACAATTGTAAAATAAAATTGAAGGAGCGATTGTAAAAGAAAAGGAAATAAAATAACTAATAAATACATTAAAAATAACAAATATAGTCTAATGTTGAATAATATTCTCCGATGGCAAGTGTGTCAACACACTAGTAGAACTTGCTATAAGAAAACATCAACGAATAAGTTTGACAAATCAAACCTAAGACTATCTTTTAAAACATAAACCACAAGATATTGGGATGACATACAATTTGTTATATATAAGTCAGTAGGGTAATCAATATCATCTAACAATCACAACACAAATAGTATTGCAACAAGAAATGAGTGCTAGAGAACCCAACAATTTAGCTTAAAATAATAGTTATGATCACGAATATGAGAGATAAAACCATGCTTTTTATGCTAACATATAGATGTCATAATGGTGGGTGTATTTACGTATAATTTAAAATAAAAGCAACATTATGAATAATAAATATAGCAATACAAGATTTAATTAACTTAACAAGAATCTATGCGGCAATAAATCTGTTAGGTATGGCTTATATGCCAAATAAGAGACAGATGTTGGAGCAGAACGAAGCGAGCTAGCGGAGTGGAGCAGAACAATCTATAAGGTGGAGTTTCGTTATGTAGGTTGGGGGGGCAATGCCCCCGCGGTACTGTACATGGGTAATTTTGTAATTACATATTGTATGCCAGGTTTAATAACCCTAGGAATTTTGTACTCTTTTTCTGGAATTGAAAGAAAATTTGTCGCTCTGCTGCCGAGAACGTAGACATCTTTGTCGAACATTGTCAAATCTCTATGTTTTCTTCTGGATTTGTGTTGATTTTTATTTTTCCTTGCCCTAAAATTCTCAATAAATTGTATCAGAGCCAGATTCTAGAGCAGAAGAGATCGGCCTAAGAAGGACGAAGAAGGAGTGCCCCTCTCGCATGACGGGCAAACCATGAGAGTGGCGGCCGGAAGCTGCATGAAGAGAGGTGGTGGAGGGGTTGAGAACTTGATAGCCTTTAGCTCCTGAAGCTCCTTCAGTAGCCTTCTGTTCTCTTCAGTTAGGGTTTCACAACACCTTCTCAGGAACTCGCAGTCCACCTCTGTCTGCTTTAATTTGGTCCTGTAATACATTTATTATTGAGGAAGAACTAGATGTTAGTTGATTTGTTTAGTTTTATATGATTAAAGTGTTCATAGTATGATGATCAGATAGCTTAATATATTAATTTGTTCTGGGCACTTGGCGCATGTTTATCTACTAATTGTATATTAATTTGTACTTGACATGATCTCAATATTTAATTAACTCTCCTAACATGATTATTAGCTACGCATAGTAAGCAACCCAAACCATATCAAATGAATTGATTATAATAGGAGGTGGAGAAGGAGATTAATTAATTGGTCATACCTTGCTCTTCTGTTCTGGAACCAAACTTCAATCTGCCTTGCTCTTAGATTCAGTTGCTTGGCCAACGTTTGCTTCTGTTTCTGATTATCATACATAGTACAAAATAGAAGAAATATATATACTGAGTCAGGTAACATGAGATTTACATTTATCATATATAGATCAAAAGAAACTCCTTCATTTATTTCAATAATAAAAGTAGGAATAGATAAAAAAAGAAACGGGATTTACAGGATTAAGAGTACTATGCTCCTTGAACCTGTCCTCTAAAAGGGCAGACTGTTCCTTGGTGAGCCTCAGCTTCTTTCTGGCGGCGGCTGAAGCTTCATCTTCCTCTTCCCTTTCCCTTTCCCTTTCCCTTGCTCGTGAAGCAGAGCCTCTCTCAACCTCTGTCTCCTCACCACCAACATCAAGTTTCTCCTTCTTGATATTAGAGGTTGAGAAAGAAGAGATTGTGCTATGGGGAGAAGATAGTCTGGCCTCCTTCGGCGTTGTCGTCGAGCCATAGATTTCTTCGGAGAGGCTAAGAGTCAGGGATGGCTCTAGCGGCGGTGGCGGGGGGTTCAGTTGCTGTTGGCGGATAATAGTCGGCAAGCCCAGGCCAAGAGAAAGGTCTGTATCACAACTATCTCCCCTCTCCATCAAAAATAAGTGCCTTCTTGCTATAGTTCTTGTTGGAGGGAGGAGATGGATGAAGGGAGAGAGAAAGATAAAGAAAGAAAAGTAGCTTTGCAGATATATTATTGAGGAAAGAAGGGGAAGGAATGAGGAGGGGGGGAATGAGTAATGGTGAGGGTTGGGAATATATACCTGAATGACATGGATGAGGTTGCCAAGGTTGACAAAAACCAAAGAGAAGACCGGCTTCCTCGGACTGAAGAAGGACTAATGTGGAAGGAACTGAAAATAGGACCTATGCTTTTTGTGCACATCAAGCGTGTGAATAATTATTTAAGAAAAAAACAATTATTATTATTATTATTAGTTCTTTAAAATCGATGGTTTCGCACAGTGATTTAATAAATAATTGATTAATTTCATGAGGAGTAAATAATATTGATTAATTATAAGTCATGGTGGACCTGTATATAATTAATGGAGGAACCAATGAGGGGCGGGCAGCTGAGCGTCAGCACGTGTAAAAGAAATTCCAGCAACTTGCGTGGAACTTTGTTTAGATATGCATTGACTTCGATTCCACTCCACAGCCCATTAGCTTAATTATGTGCAAGCATCCATGATTAGGAAATAATTACATCATTAGAAACAGAAAAAGTAAATTATTAAAAAAATAGATAACAAAAAGATTTATTTAATCAGCACCAAAATAAAACATAACTTAGTGGGGGACACACCCGACCTTTTATAATTACTTAATTATCTCTTAATTAAACCCAAAAAAAAAATACCATCTTTACAATTCACACGCCACTTGTTTAATTGGTGGACATGGGACCCAGGCACCGACGGCCCCATCCTTTTCAAGCAATAGCAATTGTAGTTTTGCCACGTGGATTGATGACTTGGGCCGGCACGATGGCCCACCAATGATTTGCTATCATGCGTTTTTGATCCCCATAGAAAACGGGATTTTAGCAGAAAGTACAGAAATGAAGACAAAGTTGGGTAGATGCATGCCACAATTTTAGGGGCGATAAATATTCATTATTTTTAAAATATCATAATTTATATATATATATTATTTTTTTTTTCGAACAATAACGATTCAAACACGAACGAACACATCACTGTTCGTGTTTGGTTCGTTTAACAAATCGAACGAAAAAACTTGTTTGTGTTCGTCTCGTTTGCTTATCGAACGAATCGAACACGAACACTGGCGAATTAACTTAACAAGAATCTATGCGGCAATAAATCTGTTAGGTATGGCTTATATGCCAAATAAGAGACAGATGTTGGAGCAGAACGAAGCGAGCTAGCGGAGTGGAGCAGAACAATCTTGTTCGCGAACAACGAGCTTTTTTGACAGCCCTGATGGTGGCTAGGGGAGAAGGGACCCCTCAAGACAGCTATGACTTTTGTAGTAGCTCACAAATTATCAATTATGCGAGCAGTGGTAGCATCATTTCTCTTAAGATTCATTCTATGTACTAAAAAAATACACAAAATCAAAACATAATAAATAAGTAAACAATAATAAAAATTTTATAATAAAATATTATAAAAATTATTATTAAGAAAACCCAAAAAATAATCTATCCTAATACCAAAGTCTAAAGAGGCAAGGATTATTGAATACAAAAGAAATGCTTTGATACCACACTATCACATCCTAGGTTTGAAAAACATTGCACTTGAATGACACGAGCCATGATGTAATATGAGCATATTTTGTACCCACAAAAATAAACATTTTTGTACAAATATAAAAGTGTGCAAGGATGGATAAATTTTATTTTATTAAATAAAAATTAGTCACAATCCCAGTCTAATAAAAGAATAAAATAAAATATAATGAAAAAAAATTAAAAGGACAATTGTAAAATAAAATTGAAGGAGCGATTGTAAAAGAAAAGGAAATAAAATAACTAATAAATACATTAAAAATAACAAATATAGTCTAATGTTGAATAATATTCTCCGATGGCAAGTGTGTCAACACACTAGTAGAACTTGCTATAAGAAAACATCAACGAATAAGTTTGACAAATCAAACCTAAGACTATCTTTTAAAACATAAACCACAAGATATTGGGATGACATACAATTTGTTATATATAAGTCAGTAGGGTAATCAATATCATCTAACAATCACAACACAAATAGTATTGCAACAAGAAATGAGTGCTAGAGAACCCAACAATTTAGCTTAAAATAATAGTTATGATCACGAATATGAGAGATAAAACCATGCTTTTTATGCTAACATATAGATGTCATAATGGTGGGTGTATTTACGTATAATTTAAAATAAAAGCAACATTATGAATAATAAATATAGCAATACAAGATTTAATTAACTTAACAAGAATCTATGCGGCAATAAATCTGTTAGGTATGCGGGGGCAACGACTCCGCGGTACGGTATAAGGGTAATTTTATAATTACATATTGTACGTCAGGGCTATATATATGATGTATTGTGACCCTAATAGGAACTTGTACTTTTTTTTCTCAAATTGAAAGAAAAACCCGCGCTCTGCTCCCGAGGACATAGACTTCTTTGTTGAACCTCGTTAAATCTCTATGTTTTCTTTTGGATTTATGTCGATTCTTGCATTTCTTTGTCCTAAAATTCTCATTAAGAGGTTCTAGGGAAGAAGAGATCGACGCAGGAGCGACGAAGAAGGATTCGACGATTTGGCAGAAAAGTTCAGCTAGGGTTCGGGTTGTTTGTCGCAGGAGGAGCAAGCGAATCTGTGAATCGTGGCATTCGGCGAATTTCGCATAGGAGTTTGGCGAGGGCTCCATCGGTTCGGCGCAAGGAGGTCAAAGACGAGGGCTTGGAATGACCGGGACGAGAGTTTTCAGCGCAGGTTCGGTTCGACGATCACGTGATTGTTCGACGAAGGATTTTGTACGAAGAAATTTGGGCGAGCAATTCAGCAACTGAGGCAGAGAAATTCGCAGGAAAAGTTCGTGGCAGGAGTAATTTCAAATGGCAATGTCCGATGCAAATTTCAAAATTATAAAGTTTGATGGAAATGATAACTTCGGATTGTGACAAGCAAGGGTAAAAGATTTGTTGGCGCAGCAAGGGAACTGAAAAGCTTTGTGGGCAACAAAACTAGAAATCATGGATGATGAAGATCGGGAAGAATTGCAACGAGCGACAACAACCATACATTTATGTCTGACAGATGAGGTTATGTATCACGTAATGAATCTAAAATCTCCATGAGAGATATGGAAGAAATTGAAAACTCAGTTTATATCCAAATCTCTAACAAATAAATTGTATCTAAAACAAAAGTTGTATGGGCTGAAGATGCAAGAAGACTCTGATCTGGCGCAACATGTGAATGTCTTCAATCTAATAATCACAGATTTATCACGATTAGATGTAAGTTGAGGATGAAGACCAAATAATAATTCTGTTGTATTCATTTTCTCCCTCTTATGAACATCTGGTGACTATTCTTATATATGAGAAAGAAAAAATCAAAGATGATGAGATTACTTCAGTATTATTAGCTCACATCTAGCGGAAGCAGAATGCAGGGGAAAACTCTCACGGTGATAGTTTATATGTTAAGGGTAATCAGGATTGTGTAAGTAAGCAAGAGGGTACTGGAAAATGAAATTCCAGATCAAAGTCCAAAGACAGAAAAACGATTCATTGCTACAAGTGCAAGGAGTCGGGTTATATAAAGAGAGATTGTTCAAAGCTCAATAAGCAGACTGATGAGAAACATGATGCTTAATCGAAGTTTGTAAATGTGGTGTCGAGTGACAATTCAGATTGTAGTGATGGTGATATGTTTTCAGTGTCATCAACTCAGTTCATGAATGCATTGATTCTTGATTTAGGATGTTCTAGTCACATAACATCTAATAGAGAGTGGTTTACTTCATACAGGTTATCTAATTCTTGTTGTCTTTTAGGTAATGATAGATCTAATATTGTTGGTATTAGTGAAATCAGGATTAAAATGTATGATGACACCGTTAGAATATTATGTGATGTCAAACATATTCTAAATTTGAAAAAAGAATTTGATTTTCTTGGGCATTTTACATACAAATGGTTTTATTCCTAAAACAGATAAGGATATGAAAACTATCAGAATTGTTAAGGGTGCGCTGACAATCATGAAAGGAAAGTTAACTACAGTGAATATCTACAAACTGTTGGGAGTACAGTTGTAAGTAAAGTTCATTCTGTGGAGTCAGATGATGACAATACAAAACTGTGACACATGCGTCATTGTCATCTTAGTGAACGTGTGATGACGAAATTGCATAAAAGAAATCTGTTGCATGGTGTGAAAAGCTGCAAACTCGATTTTTGTAAGTTTTGTGTTCTTGAAAAACATACTAGAGTCAGTTTCATGACTGGAAAACACAAAACTAAATGATTTCTTGATTATGTGCATTATGATGTATGAGGTCCTACAAGAGAAGTGTCATTGGGAGGATCTCTGTATTATGTTACCTTTATTGATGATTTCTCCAGAAAAGTTTGAGTGTATTTCTTGATGCAGAAATCCAAAGTATTCTCCATTAAAGCTGTGGAAAGCTAAGGTGGAGAACCAAACTAGCAGAAAGATCAAGTATCTGAGGTCTGATAATGACACAGTATACAGATTTGTAATTTCAGAAATTTTGTGAGGAGCATGGGATTGAGAGGCATTTTTTAGTATGCAAGACACCACAAGAGAATGGTGTTGCAGAAAGGATGAACATGTCATTAACTGAAAGGGCAAGATGCTTGAGATTGAATGCAGAGTTTCCTAAAATTTTCTGGGCGAAGGTTGTGAGTATGGCGTGCTACCTCATCAATAGATAACCTCAGACATAATTGGGTGACAAAGTTGCAGAATAGGTATGAACAAGTAATCCAGTTAAGTTTGATCACTTACGAATTTTTGTTGTCCTGCCTATGTGCACGTACGTGAAGATAAAAGATCAAAACTTGATCCAAAATCCAAGTGCATCTTTCTGGGCTACAAGAAAAGTGTCAAAGGATACAAGTTTTAGGATCTGATTGCAAAGAAGATGGTGATCAGTAAAGATGTCATTTTTGATGAGCAGTTTATGTTACAGTAGAATCAAGACAAGGTGCTAGAAAATAGTTCCATTTCAGATACAGTGTAAATGGATTTATAACACCATTCAAAAATAACTGAGAGAGTTAAATGTTCAAATCCAACAACTAGTGATTCCAATACAGATAATTTGTAGAATTACAATATAGTCAGAGACAAACATAACACACCAATATAAGGCTTTCTAGCATACTGTGTTATAAAGACTTGGTCTCTTGTGCAATTTTCATCAGTAGAGATGATTCAGTCACCATTCAAGGAGCTATCACCAGCTTAGAGAGAGAGAGAAATGGATGGGTACAATGGTTGAGGAGATGAAGATTCAAATCCAACACCTTAGAGAGTTGAAGGTTCAAATCCAACACATGGTGATTTCAATACAGATAATTTGAAGAATTACAATCTAGTCAGAGACAGACACAGACACACCAATATAAGGTCTTCAAGCAGACTAGGTTATGAAGACTTGGTCTCTTCTGCACTTCTCATCAGTAGCGATGATCCATTCACCATTCAAGGAGCTATCACCAACTTGGAGAGAGAGAAATGGAAATGGTTGAGGAGATGAAGTCTTTGCAGAAAAATCACACTTAGAAGCTAGTTCAGCTTCCTAAGGGAAATTAGACTATTAGGTGCAAATGGGTGTACAAGAGAAAAACAACAGTATTAGAAAAAAAGGGGAGCTCGATTTTGTTAGTTTTGTGTTCTTGAAAAACAGACTAGAGTCAGTTTCATGACTGAAAAACACAAAACTAAATGGATTCTTGATTATGTGCATTATAATGTATGAGGTCCTACCAGGGAAGTGTCATTGGGAGGATCTCTGTATTATGTTACTTTTATTGATGATTTCTTTTGAGTGTATTTCTTGATGCAGAAATCCAAAGTATTCTCCAAATTAAAGCTGTGGAAAGCTGAGGTGGAGAACCAAACTGGCAGAAAGATCAAGTATCTGAGGTCTGATAATGACACAGTATACAGATTTGCAATTTCAGAAATTTTGTGAGGAGCATGGGATTGAGAGGCATTTTTTAGTATGCAAGACACCACAAGAGAATGGTGTTGCAGAAAGGATGAACATGTCATTAACTGAAAGGGCAAGATGCTTGACATTGAATGCAGAGTTTCCTAAAAGTTTCAGGGCGAAGGTTGTGAGTATGGCGTGCTACCTCATCAATAGATCACCTCGGACATAATTGGGTGACAAAGTTGCAGAATAGGTATGAACAAGTAATCCAGTTAAGTTTGATCACTTACGAATTTTTGTTGTCCTGCCTATGTGCACGTACGTGAAGATAAAAGATCAAAACTTGATCCAAAATCCAAGTGCATCTTTCTGGGCTACAAGAAAAGTGTCAAAGGATACAAGTTTTAGGATCTGATTGCAAAGAAGTTGGTGATTAGTAAAGATGTCATTTTTTATGAGCAGTTTATGTTACAGTAGAATCAAGACAAGGTGCTAGAAAATAGTTCCATTTCAGATACAGTGTAAATGGATTTATAACACCATTCAAAAATAACTGAGAGAGTTAAATGTTCAAATCCAACAACTAGTGATTCCAATACAGATAATTTGTAGAATTACAATATAGTCAGAGACAAACATAACACACCAATATAAGGCTTTCTAGCATACTGTGTTATAAAGACTTGGTCTCTTGTGCAATTTTCATCAGTAGAGATGATTCAGTCACCATTCAAGGAGCTATCACCAGCTTAGAGAGAGAGAGAAATGGATGGGTACAATGGTTGAGGAGATGAAGATTCAAATCCAACACCTTAGAGAGTTGAAGGTTCAAATCCAACACTTGGTGATTTCAATACAGATAATTTGAAGAATTACAATCTAGCCAGAGACAGACACAGACACACCAATATAAGGTCTTCAAGCAGACTAGGTTATGAAGACTTGGTCTCTTTTGCACTTCTCATCAGTAGCGATGATCCATTCACCATTCAAGGAGCTATCACCAACTTGGAGAGAGAGAAATGGAAATGGTTGAGGAGATGAAGTCTTTGCAGAAAAATCACACTTAGAAACTAGTTCAGCTTCCTAAGAGAAATTAGACTATTAGGTGCAAATGGGCGTACAAGAGAAAAACAACAGTATTAGAAAAGAAGGGGAGGTGTACAAGAGAAAAACAACAGTATTAGAAAAAAAGGGGAAAATTCAAGACTCGATTGGTAACAAAGAGATTTTCACAGCAAAAGGGGATAGTTTATGATGAAATTTTTCTCCTGTGATCAAACATTCTTCAATCCGGGCAGTGCTTGCATTAGTAGCTATTTGGTATTTGCATCTGGAGCATATGGATGTTAACTGCATTCTTGCATGGTGATCTGGAGGAGTAGATTTACATGGAGAAACTAGAAGGATTCACTCAACCTAGATAGGAGCATCTGGTTTGCAAATTAAAGAAATCGTCGTATGGGTTGAAACAATCTTCAAGACAATGGTACAAGTGGTTTGACCCCTACATGATTCAGATTGACTACAAGAGATGTGAGTATGATTGTTGTGTCTATGTCAAGAGCCTTGATGATCGTTTTTTTTAATTTTTATGTTATTGTATGTTGACGATATACTGATTGCTGCAAAGAATATGCATGATGTCCTCGTTTCGAAAGGTTTATTAAACCCTTTATTAAGCCAAAAACCAAAAATTTGACATGAAAGACTTGGGTGCTACAAAAAAATTTTTGGAATAGAGATTCATCGAGATAGAGGCCCAAGACGACTGTGTTTATTTCAATGAGACTATTGAGAAAGTGTTAAGACAGGTTTGGGATGAGCAAAACAAAGCATGTAAACACTCCAAAGCACTCCATTGGCAAATCATTTCAAGCTTTCTTCAGAACAATGTCCTAAGACAAATACAAAACTTGAAGACATGGCAAATGTTCCATATGCATGTGCAGTTCGCTGCTTGATGTATGCAATGGTATGTACTTGTCCTGATTTGGCTCGTACTGTTAGTCAAGTCTGCAAATTCATGACTAAAGCTGGAAGGCGACATTAGGAGCAGTCAAGTGGATTTTCAGGTATCTGAATGGGTGTTGTAGAACATGAATTTATTTTTGGCAGTCAGCAGAATGATTCTTAAGTTGTGGAGTATGTGAATTCATACTAGGTAGGTGATTTGGATAACAAAATGTCTAAAATTGAGTATGTGTTTACTTTTGGTGGAGGGCTAATATGTTGGAAATATATGTTGGAAATCAACTGTTGGAAATCAACAATTTAGTTTATTGTGACATTATCTACAACTGAAGTTGAGTACATGACAGTAGCTGAAGCTGCTAAAGAAGATTTATGGCTTACTGGTCTAGTAAAGGAACTGGGTGTTGAGCAAAATGGAGTTCAGTTGCATTGTGATAGTCAAATTGCCATTTGTCTAGCTAAAAACTAGGTGTACCATGTGCGAACTAAGCACATTGATGTCAGGTATCACATAATCAGAGAATTTAATTGCTTCCGGTGAAATATGATTGCTTCTGGGGAGATATTGTTGCAGAAGGTTCATACTAATAAGAATGCAGCCGATATGTTGACCAAGTCAGTTACTAGCAACAAGTTCTTGCATTGATTGAACTTGTTGAATATTCACAGTTGCTAGACAAGTATGGTAGCCCAACCCACTTTGGTGTGTAAGAACCTCCATGATGTATTTCTCTTAAGGGGTTGAATATTCACCAAGCTGGAAAATTGTTAGGTAGGACTCATATACCAAATAAGAGACAGATGCTGGAGCGAAACGGAGCGAGCCAGCGCAGTAGAGCAGAACAATCTGTCCAATTAGAGGGAGTTTTGTTATGTGGGTTGGGTTGATATTGTATGTCAGGGTTATATATATGTCTTGTTTGTGACCTTAGAGATTCTGTACACTTTCTGGAATTGAAAGAAAAGTCGTCGCTTTGCGCCCGATGACGTAGGCATCTTTGTCGAACCTCGTTAAATCTATGCATTTTCTTCTGGATTTGTGTCGATTCTTTCATTTCTTTCC